TGTAATAACGGTCTTAATATTACATCCATTTAATGGAACATTCCAAAGAAAAGGTGCGAAGATTTACTCGTGGCGTTTGGCGCAAAATTATGAATAATTGCCCGCCTTTCATGATTCTTATACAGGTGTACTATTGTAAAAGTATATATACAGGAACATTAAGAGTAGTAGTCCCAATAGCGTAGTGGTGTGCGCTACAGATAGAAATAAAAAGTAAGTTGGTTTTTCCCATTGGGTTCAATCCCCATTGTCACAAAAAAAATTTAATCCCCTTTTTAGCTTCATTTTACTTTTTTTTTCAAGATCGGACGGAAGCATCTCATTGCAACGAGATCATTTATAGTTATTATTATTATTATTATTCTACTTTTATATAGCGCCCTATATAATTATGGAATTACCCTAAAGCGCTTTACACGTAGAAGACAATTACAATATAAAACAAAGGACGGGTACAATATAAGATAGCAAAAAGGTAAAATCATAGGGCTTTATATATATAAGATCCAGCGGGAGGCAGTTCCACAGGGTGGCTGAAGATACATCAAACCTTCTATCTCCATACATCTTACTTCGAGTGCGTGGTTTAACAAGGCTCAGTGAATCTCCTGACCGTAGTGAACGTTGTGGGCGATAGACCAGAACAAGTTCCTGGATGTATTCGGGGCTAGCTTCTGTAAGGCCTTGAAAGTATACAACAGAATTTTATATTGTGCACGGTATGCCACAGGTAGCCAGTGAAGAGTTATGAGAATTGGTGTTATATGTTCATGTTTTCTCAAACGTGTCACCAGTCTGGCTGCAGTGTTATGAACTTTCTGCAACTTTTGAAAGGATGTGGCATTGAGGCCAAACAATAGTGCATTGCCATAATCAAGTCTAGATGTCACTAAAGATCTAACAAGTGTCCTGCAAGCATCCTCTGTTATGAGTGATCTTATTCTACCGATGTTACGGAGATGGAAATAACCGGATCTTGTAACCGAATTGATTTGACAGTCCATGCTTAATTTGCTGTCGAAAAATACCCGAGATTTATAACACAGGACGCATTACTGATGACTGATCCACCAAAAGCGAGTTTACATCCTGTAAATTCATTTGCCATACGTTTCGGTGTAAAGATGATGAGTTCAGTCTTATCCTGGTTTAGCTTAAGGATGTTGTTTTGCATCCAGTCTTGTATATCAGACAGACATCGTTCAAGTCTATTCGCAATGTCGTCCCAACTGTCCTTCGGGTTAATAATCAGGTAAACCTGTGTGTCGTCAGCATAACAATGGTAATACATGTTATGTCTCCGGCAAATTTCTCCGATGGGTTTGGAGAACATACAATATAGACGAGGTCCTAAAACAGACCCTTGTGGTACACCAAACTGGAGTAAGAACTCTCTCGAGAATGTCGAACCTACAGCAATTTGCTGACTTCGACCAGATAAATAAGACTTTATCCATGAAAGCGCCGATCCTGTGATACCAAACGCGTATTCGATGCGACTGATTAGTATATCATGATCAATCACATCGAATGCAGCCGAGAGATCTAGCATTACGAGAGCAACGCATGAATTCTTATCCAGTGCAGAGGTAATATCATGGTGCACCCGTAGCAGGGCAGTTTCTGTAGAGTGACTACTTCGGTAGGCCGACTGCACGTTATCATGAAGCTGGTAAGCGTTTAGGTGTTTTTCGAGTCGAGATGCCAACGCTTTTTCTAATACTTTAGATAAAAAAAAGGCAAATTTGAAACAGGTCTGTAATTCTTGAATTCATCTTTGTAAAGTCCTTGGCGCTTAATCAATGGACGTACTATGGCCTTTTTGAAATCCAATGGTACTGACGCTTCTGAGAAGGATTTGTTGATAATTTCAGTGATGATTGGCAAAAGACTCTCCAAACATTGTTTCAAAACATTTGTGGGTATTGGATCTAACTCGCAAGACTTCGTTGGTGCATCGCCGATAATGTCACATACCTCAGCAATCGACACTGGTTCAAACGCTTCCAGAAGAATGCCATCAAACTTGATGTCAGCTCGAAGGACAACTTCCATAGTAGGAGACTTGGTCAAGGAGCAAAGGTTTTCTCTGATTTTCTGAATTTTACCGATAAAAAATTCACCAAATTTGGATGCGAGATCGATTTCGCTGTCATGCTCTGGCAGGACTGATAAATTTGTGTTTCCCATGAGATTGTTGGTAAGTTTAAAAAGCTGTTTCGAGTCGCTGCCTATTTCCTGAATTTTGTTTATATAAAACTGACTTTTACAGTGTTGTATGAGTTTTGTAACCTGCATACATTTCTGATTGAAAATGTCCTTGTGGACTGCTAGGTTTGTTCGTCTCATAGTTCTTTCAGCCCCTCCGCGATCTCTCTTAGCAGAATAAAGATCATCCGTAAACCAAGGAGTAGTCGGTCGTAAAACAATCTCCTTTGATTTCAGAGGGGCATGAACATCAATGGTAGCAGTAAGAACTCTATTGTAGTGAAAGATAAGTTTTTCAACAGATGCTTCCTTGTAAGTCACGTTTGAAAAATCAAGATCGTTTCTGAAATTGTCTATGTTGATGTCATAAATTTTCCGAAAGGTTACCGTTTTTCTCTCTCTCGGAGCTTTGGACAGACGCAGTAAAGTGCGAATTGCGAGGTGGTCACCACTTCTGTTTCCATTGTTGTCACATATACCAGGATCTGCTACAAATGGCGTTCCCTGTAATATAGAACTATCTTCTCTGGTTATCAACACATCTAACGTATGACCAAGACGATGTGTTGCATCGGAAATATGCTGCTTTAATCCATGTTCTGTTAGCAACTCTGTAAATGTTCTAGCATCTTTGCCATTGGGATTATCAAGATGGAAACTTAGATCACCTGTGATAAGTAACTCACCAGGGATTAACACGAGACTGTCCAGATAGTTGGTCCATTCTTCAAAGAAAACGGAATTCTTGAATCTATTTGATTTTGATAGTGGTGGGCAATATATAACAGCGATGCGAACAAAGTTGTTTTTGACTCCAACAGAGCACTCTAGATGTTCAAAATGAGTGTATTTGGCATCTTTGTTCGCAGGTTTCACACTAACCCGTTTTTCGTGAATAATCGCCAGGCCTCCACCCAGTGCGATCTACCCTTGGTTTATTTATGAAATTATATCCGTTTGGTGTTAGTTCAGACAAAATGGCGTTATCTGTGTCTGATCCTAGCCATGTTTCAGTCAGCACCATGAGATCGATGTTATTTGACTGAATGTAATCATTTATGGATACTGATTTATTTCTTGAAGATCTACAATTGAGAGTACATAGTGAAAGAGTTCCTGACGAGTTGGCTATTGGAACTCTACTTGTTACAATTTTCAAAAGATTCGAACCATCTCGACAGCTTGTATTGTCAATTCTCTTTGTCCTGTGTTGAATCAATGTTGGAATAGGGAAGGTCTCACATGTTTCATTTGGAACTTTTGCGATAGATCAGGAATTGTTGAGAGTATCATTGAAGATGTACACTAGATTATTTTTATTGACCCCAAGTTGATGTTCCACATAGCTCAGCCTCCCAACACAGACAGTGTGGATACGTCTTATGAACCTGCGTCCACCCTTCGTGCCCCTTCTAAGTCGAAAATGTTTGGCACGACCCGACACTCCAACAGTGTTTGGCCTTACAAAACACATCGTGCAGAAACTATATTAATTGAGTACGAAAAACCGTGGAGTGACTTGTCAACACAATCCAACCAAAAAGAGAGATAGTTCGTACAGGGAATCGTACTGAAGTCAAAGTATATTTAGCTCAGTAGGAACATTTGTGGAGCGACTTGACAACACAATCTGAGCGAAAAGAAAGATAGCTCGTACTGGTAAAATCCCAATAGAGTCAAAGTAGAAAAGTTGAGTAAAACAATTTGTGGAGCGACTTGGCAACACAATTCAAACAACGAGAAAAATAGCTCGTACCTATAAAAATCAATACAGTCACGGTTCAGTGAACTCAAAATTAAAAACTTTAAACTAAAATTTCACTTAAAAATGGAAATTTAAAAAACAAAGGATTCAACCTTTTGATTAAGCGACGTGTTATATAAAAGCTCAACAAATCTTAAAACTAGAACCTTAGTAACAAAAAGAGCAATCAAGTTATATAGTCAGAGGTGGAGCTGCCCTGTCATAGCGCTAACACACTCTACAGATCAAGTAACGTCAAGTGACGCCGTTGCACGTAATGCAACCATTACCTGTTAATGATGGTATAATCAGGATTATATGTTTTTTAAAAAATTGTATATGCCCCTTTAAGGCCCTTGTTTGGGGAATGAATAAATACATAAAACAGATTCACCCTCATGAAATTTAATAAGGATTTTTTTTTTATTTTGGTAAATCAGATATGGTTACATGTCCTAGGTACATCGTTTAGTCTCGCGACGACAAGGAAACAAGGAACTCAGAAACGCTTTCTCAACCATTACAAAAAAGTTTTAGGGGCAGTTATCAATATAAGTAGGTAACGTAGATTTAATTAACTTCTATGTTATCATGAAGTAAATCAACTTAAATAAATAAAAAAGGGAAAAAATCAATGCGCATCTCCTTTGACGCCGTTGCAAATATTCAAGAAACAGAATACAACAGACTTATTTCAGTTTATTATGCCCCCTTAATCAAAGATTCAGGGGTATTTCGCTCTGTCCGTTCGTCCGTCCGTCCTTCTGTCTGTTTGTCTGTATTCCCGCAAAAACTTCAACTTGCCAATAACTTTGGATTGGGTGGAGTTATCGCTATCATATTTCACAGGTTTATATCTTGTGAAAAGACCTTTTAAAAGAACCAACATATTTGATCTCTGGACATTGACCTTGGAGTTTGAAAAATTTTTTGCAAAATTTTACCCATCACAATTTATGTTGTCTCTGAGGACCAGTTCACTTAATGATTTGTTGGAATTTCGAAGGAATTTCTATGGCGCTAATTGTGCTTCTTTATTAACCGACCTGCTTTTATACTTTTTAGATTTCGCTTAAAAACTTCTATATGATAGAAAGAAAACACTCTCTGTGGCCTTTAACTCGACATTCAAATAAATCGACAATGTTTATCAATTAACAATAGATAATCCCATGCATATGTCGACCCGATTTATCCCATTGAACTTTAAATAAAAAGATACCACAGAGTATTCAACATCTGTTTCATGCTATTGAAAATGTTCGTGGAAAAGCTGAATCCCCCCCCCCACTTTTGGCAAAAGGAAAGTGATATAAGGATAATATTGGTATTTTTATTAAGAAAATTTGATACTGAAAGATGTTGGTGTCGGAAAAAAATTGGACAAGACATCAGGAATTTCTTAGGGTCTGTGTTTGTAACTGCTATTTTCTTGTCTTATTTTTTTTTTTTACATACGTAGTCGAAATAATGACATTGTCAACAAATACAAACTGCCATTAGGTCGAGTGCTAAAAAGGTTCTGCAAGCTAATTGATAAGCCATTATTTTCACACTGAATTATCAAAGGATTTTCCTTTTTTCCGAACACAATACAGATAATAGGCGATATGTAAGGTTGACAGGGGAGTGTTTTACTTATCCATGGTACCTAATCCTATCAATAATTGTCTTTGAAATCCTTGTATGCATTTCTCCCTATCTGTATTGTTTAATTTGGCTTTTGAACTTGGTAAATTTTATCTCGAACTTGGGAAACTAATCAGGATTTTCGAGTTTTGGCAAATTTCCAATTCCTCATTTCTAAGAAATGTAACTAGATTTCCTACATTTATCTAACTTTCATCTTACTTCATCCATCTTGAACCGAAATTCACAGAACTAAAGAACTGAAATTATGAAAGAAAAAAAACCCCATAAATTTCATTGAATACTCCTGAAAAGATTAAAGATTGAAGATTTTTCTATGCCCAAGACACATTGTTTGGACAATCCTAACAGAAACTTTTTCTCGTAATTTCATACCTATTTATAAGAAAATTGTCCTAATATCTTTGTTTATCAATTGATCAGATCTGATACAATCGCAGCTGTATGTATTTTCTACACCTATTTATCTTTTGTTGTCCTTCCATAAGAACTCCTGAGGGGAGTATATTTTTTCACGGGCGAAGAAATCTTCATCTCTCCCACACATTCATGCGATGAATTGTTTATGATACTGAATCACGCACAAACTATGAAGATAATCGAGTTAATAAAAAAGTAAACATTTGATGACATAAATATGAAACAGATACAAGTTTTAAGTTAACCACTCTCTTATAATTAACATGCCCATCTTGAAATTGGTGTTAAGTAAATCAAAACGACGATTCAAAATAGCTCGCACATGATTTTCATTTAAAAAAATCATACTGCTTTGGTCGTTCTGCAAAAATTAGAAAAAACAAAACCTACTTTTTTGTTTTTAAATAATGAAACAATGGTAAAGAACTCAATTTAACATTTGAAGACATTATGTTCACGACTTTTGTTTTTAAAGATACAGATCTTTGTTTTCTGACTTTTATTATTAGGATAAACTTTTGACCACATACACCAGCAACCTATATCTATTTTTTGTATTATTTGGTGCTTCATTGTATCAAAATACATATTAAATTATTGCATTTATTGCTGTTTTGAGATCAATATGATAATTACGCTAGCGTCACCTGAAGAGTACAGTATTCCCCGAGTCAGCCCAGAGGCGAGCACAATGCCGAGCACTGGTACAGAAACAGGCAAATATTGGTATTTATGCAAGCTATTCCCACTTTCTGAAAATCAGGTAGAAAAAGATGAAATTTCACGTGGGAGTAGGTGGAATTTTGTGTCAACAAATAATTAACTATGTTCTAAAATCTAGGTATTAAGTTGCTGTTTCTTGTAAGATCATTTTATTATTTCAAAAATCCTAAATAAATCATATTTTCTCATAGATGTATTCATTATTTTCTGTCTTAAATGTACAAAATACAGTTAAATCCATACATCTACTGTTATTTGCAAGTGGGAATAGGTGGAATTGAGATTTTTAAAAAGTGGGAATAGCTAGAAGACACCTACATGAACAAGTCTAATGAAATGTGATGGATGCCTCTGATCGGTTCCCGAAAAAATTATGACTAGGCCAGAGATTTTGCTTCATTTTATAACTTCCATCAGCCGTATAGCAGTAAACTGTAGACGAAAACACAATTCAGCATTGTACGTACAGACATCTGAAAATATCAAACCAACAAAAAAATGTAGTAACAAAAGACAGACAACAGAAGAATCGAAATAAATGAGAAAACAGTTAAATTTTGTGTTTTAAGGTGATAATATACATACAGTATAGGCGACGAGTTAACCCCATCGCACGGTGGAAAAAACACCGTGTGAAATGCTCTGTGTTACACCTTGTACACGGTTAGCAAGGTGTGTGTTGTTTTGAAATATACAGGTAGGCACACCATGCCTCACCGTGTCTAGAAAAGTCTCAGCTAATGCCCTCCGTGTCGAACCGTGTCCAGTAAACTTCTCTCCGTGTCGCACAGCGTGTCCAGAAAATCCTCCTCTGCTGCACCGTGTAAATAGTATAACAGACAAAATCGTTTGTTTCTGATAAAAATTTGATAATTCATTTTGATGACAATTTATGACTTTGGTTTATAAATATAATAATCGTTTTTATTCTACCATACATTGGGCTTTGAAAAGCACACATGATATATTGCGATTAGATATCTATAACCGTGCAGAATTGACCTTTTTTTACTATACTTCTTTTGGACTTTTATTTTTTTGAACTTTTGTAACAGAGACAATTTTGTGCCTCTGCCGAGTATTGAACCCAGGGCTCTGACTTGCCAGTCCAGAGCTCTACCAATTGAGCTAAAGGATTAACCCAGTAGCCCAAGCTAGTAGGATGCCGTTTATCTAACACTACCATACTTTAATATGTTTCTTTTGTTATTTTCCTTGAACTTATTTCTAAATCTTTATTTATTGTTGGACTATGAAGCTCCCAATTTTTACTTAATTACGTCTAGTGACACTATATGGACAATTGTTGAGAACTACAAAGAGACAGAGTGTTAACCGTCACTAATATCTAATACCTTATAAAACAAATGTGTAATAATTCGATTGATCTTTCATGTCCATCTTATCAAAACTTTTCACAGATTGTAATTTACTCAACACATGTCATTTTGTCACTCAATTTGCTAATTGTTCCAAAGAATTCTTTT